CCCCCGCAGAGCCGGCCCCTCCCCATTCTGCCTCTGCAGCTCCTCCCTCCCAGGCCTGGCTGTTCCCTCACCTCAGCCAGGCCTCTGCTGCACCCCTGGACAGGGGATAGACACTCTGCACCCTTGGGACTGCCCACACCCTTCCTGGAAGAGGCTGGCTAGGAGTGCTTTTGTTTTTAGTCTTAAAATCCATTTTCTTGCACACACCTGAGGCTCAGATGCTGGACTTAGCATTTCAGGGCCATCTCAGCATGAGAGATCCACAGTCAGTGGAGCTGGAATTTCCCCTCACCCTGTCACCCAGGCCTGTAAGGTCTCTGGTAACAGCAGTGCTGGACCTGTCTTAGGAACTTACCGTCAGGCAGCAGTGTGACATGCAGGGCTTCATTTTCACAGAGTCATCATTTCAGCCCTGACTTCCAGTTAAACACCCACTTTACATGAATAAGGGAATTCCCAAGCCAGAGGAAGCCTTCTCTTTGAGAGGGCTCTGAAGGAGAAAATGAATTACATCAAACCTCCTAGCACTGAGCTGGCTCCATCCCAGGTGGTTAGTTCCAGCTACTATGAAAGAAATGTCTTGGTCCTCGGCTTTTATTTATTTATTTATTTATTTATTTATTCTCCTGATTGCAAAGTTCTTCCCTGTTCAACCTCCAAACTCGATGCCTTCCTGTCTTGTCTACCTGTTATTCCTCATTTGAGAGACACTGAAAACATAAAGAACAGTTGTGGAAGACTGCAGCACTCAACATCTGTATTCAAAGTAGACTTACAAAGTCAGCTTAAAATTTTTTAAATAAAAATACGAGAGAATTAGTTTTATTTTTTCCAAGCAAGACATAGGAGTAGTCAGGATTTAGCATGTGTCCTTCCAGTCCACGTATTCCCATTTTAATACAGTTGTTATGTGATCATACACTATTTTTAAAACTTACGTAGCAATTTTTTTTCTACAACTGCTTTTTAATATTCTTGCTCCTGATTCCATGTTATTATCCTGAGTTACACACGTGGCAGTATTTCATTTGATTTGACAGTTAGGTAATCTTGTAATTACTATATCACAAATCATTTGGTTTTTCCTATATCAACAGGGATTTAGATTACTTATTCCCCTCCTTTGATTTTTGTTTTTAAAAGACTTTACTTATTAAACTTTTTTTTTTTTTTGGTACTGGGAATCGAACTTAGGTCCTTGCACATGAGCAGCAGGCAGCGAAACCACTGAGCTAAATCCCCGGGCCCCTTCTTTGATTTTTAACTGCTTTGCCTTAAAAATAATGCTAGAGATGATTAACTTTATAATGGTATAAGTAGAGTCTCTTCTCATTGATTTCTTGGGGAAACAATTAAATTTTATAAAACTTTATTTACCAAACACAAAATTCTTTTAAAATTGTTCTGTGGCATACAGAAAATGAAGAAACCTTTATTCAAGAGAAATCTAGTAAATCTTGGTAAAAGGAGTGACAGTCTAAGCTGTACCTTTTTCCCTTCCACAACCTGCTGTTAAGGTCCCTTATTGCTTTTGCTGTCTTCTGTTGTCACAAACTGCTGCTTCTCAGCCATGTGTCACCCTGCCTTGGAGCCAGCTGATTATGGACTGAAACCTCTACAAACTGAGCTAAATAAACCTTTCCCTCCTTTAACTTTGGAAGTCAAGTACTTTGTCTCAGCAATGAGAAAAGTAACTAAGACACATCCCATCTATTCTACAATGGCCAGCCGTCTCCTGTGCATTTCTTTCCCTCAGCCACCCTGGGAACTTGGCAGTGTGAGGCAGTCAAGGAGCTGCTCTGGGACCCAGGATCAAACACTAAGTCCTTCCCTACAGTGCCGTCCCTGTGAACTTTCGCTCCACGACTGGGGCTGTGGGCACTTGTACCGAGGTCACTCACCAACTGTTGGCTGTATAAGGCCGCTCTGGAAGCAGTGCCCCGAGTTTGCCTTGTGATCCAACTGCTGAGGTTTCCTTCAGTTGCGAGGCATTTCTCTGGTTCTGAATGACAGCAGAGTTGTTAGCTTCACTTTGCCTCCCAGGTAGAGATTACCCAATTACTGTCAGTGGGACTGCATGGTCTCTCCTCCGCAGTGTGATCTATTTTCTGTATCATTTAATCCTATTTCTTCTCCTCTATCAGTTCTTTTGAGGTTCCCTGTTAACTTTGACTCACTTTGAATCCTGTCTGAGCTATTGTTTTCCAGACCTGGACAATTTGTCCTGGAGAAGCTGAGTTCCTGGCACTCACTGCTCTGCCATTTTGGGACTGAGAATTTATTCTGAAAACAAAAAATTTTCCTAATTTGCTCTGTAAACATAGTTCTCAGGCTTGGTCAGCTGCACTCACACCCTATGTGGCCCAGGGTCCCAGGTCAAGGTGGTGTTTCTTTATATACAACATAGAAACTGTGTCTGCACCAGGTGTTTTCACTGCTGGTAAAAAGGGAAATATACCTTCCCTGATGACCTCCCAGAAGTGCATTCTGAGGCAGAAACAAGATCAAGCACTGGGCAGCATTCCCAAAGGGGAGAGCACTTCTGCCATGCTCTGTGGCTGTATCCCAGGTTCCACTTCTAACTCTTGTTGGCTATTTTGTAACACTTGAACCTGAGAAACTGCCACAGCTCATAAGCAAATACATGACTGCTAAAGAAGGCAAGAAGGAGGCACAGTGCAACTATAATTTTATGATGTGCTTTATTGATTACAAATCACCTAGAGTCCATTATTCCATTATTTCCTTTGCTTCTGCTTTTCATTATGTTTATTGGTACAATTTAGGTATACAACAGTTACATTCATCATTTGGGAACCTACACCTTTACATGATATATCTTGATTCTTAGTTTTCTCCATTTCCCTCCCCTCCCTTCACCTTTATTCCCTTTGATTCTTACAAAGACCTGTATTTAGAGAAAAACATCCACATTCCTTCCCATCTCCAGGATGTAAAGGTCAATCACTTCATCCATACATGATTTGCCCTGTATCAATTCTGAACGAAATAGCAGAGCTAGGATTGTGATCCAATTTCCTCTTAGCTTAATTCCTCACATCTTTCCTCCCCCACCTTCATTCTGTCCCCTCACATCTGTATAACCACCAGAGGCGTCAGAGACATGCCATTTCTTCTCTCTTTCTCCTTCACCATCATGCCCTGGGGATAGCACAGATGCGGTAGCTCTCTGGGGAAAGTGTAAGGCCCACCCTAATCTTCAGACTCAGCTTTTCGTTCTTTGGTGGCTTGAAGGTAAATTTTTGCAGAAGGGAAGTGAAGAAAATAAACAGCTCAGACCTAGCCAGCTGTTCTCCAAGGCATCCACGTTTTCCTGTGGGACAAAACAAACAATTTATCTTTTCAAGTGGCATTGTTGCCTCTACAAACTGGTATTCTCAACTTCTTCCAGCAAACCTGACCTTATATTTTATATCCAACGTTTTATTTTTGTCTGACAACCACTTAAATTCACCAAAGGATAGAAACTGGAAATCCAGGACCACAAGGTCAAATGCATTTAGAAGTTAGCTGTGGGGTGAAGAAACAGAGTATAGAATAATGGAAGTGGGAGGCCTGGGCTGACTCAGAGAGTGGATATCTAGTCTGAAACCTTTCAAAACTCATTTAATAAACAATCACAGGAACAGTCAATGAAACAAGAACAAAACTATGTAATCTGTGTCAATCCTTAAAAGGAAATAGCAAAGTATAAATGAGTAAATGATAGAGCAGGGCTCCTGACATCTAAGTCACTTCCCTGTGCCTCCTCCATCATGGGGACCCCTGACATGCACAGCTCTCCAGATGGAACTGCCTGTTCCTTGCTCTTTGAGCTGTCCATCTTGGCCAGGGCCTTTGCTTCCAATGTGAAGGCTGAGCAGTGTCCTGGCCTCTATAGCTCACACTGGACACCATCCTGGCCGCATTCCAATCAATACCTGGCACGTGGAGAACTGGGGGTAAGGGGACAGAAGCTCAGTGCTGAGGGTATTAGAGGCCACCATGGTGGGACAGTGATGGAAAGAAGGCTGGACTGACAAGTAAACCTTGTGTACAGTGAAATAAAAAATGTAGTACCACATTCTTCAAAATACCTGTCATGGGACTCTGATAAAAACACAGAAGCAGAGTAACTTGCATGAAATGAGATATTATAACCAAGAAAAACCTAAGAAAGCCCCCTCACCTCATTCACTCTTAGTCAACTCAAAATTCGCTGACTTTGGAGGTCACACAGATGCACGACACACGTTCTCCCTAGCTTTGCTGCAGATGATACTTCTGCTGTGTGGGTTATAATAGTGGCCTAGGTTACTTCCCAGGAGCCTGAAGGTCACTCTTCCTGAAGACACTTACCCTTCACTTTGCTCACAGATGTCTTATGGGTCACTAAAATGGGATAAAAGGATCTCTGTGTTCATATAGTATCTGTCCCCTTTGCTGTCACAACCCTTGTATCAAATGCTACTTACTTCTATATATAGACACATCGATCATTTAAAAGTGTTTAGTCCATGGGGGGAGAGTTGAGAAGTGGGGGTAATAGGAGGAATGATTAAAGTATATTTTGTGCATGCACAAATCTGCTAAAGAGAAACACATTAATCTGTATAAAAATATGTACTCATAAAATAATAGGAAAAAGTTTAATCCAAGGCTAGTGTTAAGTTGTGCTATTGTATGTGAGAGCTGGTATGCGTTTTCCTTTGCTTTCTAGTTTTCATTTTATCTGCCCCTGCCTTGTCCTTCTTCAGCAACCTGAGCAGCACAAGGCCCTAATGTCCTTCAGGGCCATCCTAGGGCCCAGACCCACAAAGCCGGGATGTTTGGTGTGGGATGATGGTGTCACAAAAAATTTATATTATTCCTGTAAAACTGCTCAGTAAATGTAAATGTAACTGGCAACTATGCCACTGCTTTACTTTGTGCCTGATGTTTTGCACTGCCCTGTGCCTAACTCATGAGTGTTTTTATCTTTATCTTGTACTCATCACAGATATCAGGATTATCCACTTGTTAAAATGATAGCAAATCAGTTGTTAGAACAATCCATATATTATGCAAAAATAGACCTGAGGAGTCTTGAATCAGGCTTAAAGAACTAACTACATCAGTGACCACTGTGTGACTGGGATAAAACCATTCCCAAAGAGAAATCTTTTCCTGTGTCAAAAATCTTTCTCTCCGACTAGTGTGCTATGACTAGGGAAACATCCCAATAGATCACATGTATTTATTTGCTTTAAAACTGATGAATACAAGGACTATTCCACCTCAAAGCTCTGGCCTGAGACAGCATATACTTGTATTGTTCCCCATCATTAACCAAGTAGGTCAATTACTTGTTTAGTAAAATTGTCTGCCCGACCCAATCATCTATGATCCAATGATTTCCTTTAGATATGAGAAACTACTCTCTCTTTTTTTGTATTAAATTCTTTCATTGGTACATTGTAGGTATACAACACAATTACATTTCTCATTGGGAATTGTCCCTTTACATAATGCATCTTGGTTCTTATATTTTTCCCCATTCCTAGCCCTCCCTTCACGCCCTCCACCTCTCCCTATTTACAAAGACTTTATTTCCATTTTTTCCATTTCTCATCATTTTTCCTTTCCCTTCTTTCCTTTCCCCATTGTAGGTATACAACACAATTACATTTCTCATT